AAAGACTTTCAATATAATAATAAAAATATTTAGAACAAGAAAAGCAAGAATAAAGAAATATGTGCAACTCAGACAATTGTTATTGGAATGAAAAACCGTGGAGGCTTTTCTCAATTTCTAGTGCTTTTGTGAAAAACATCCATACATTTCATAGAGTGGAAGAAGCAGCAGTAACTAGAAATTGAAACCTTAGTTGCCCAAAGTATTTACTAAAGGACATTTGAGGGGTAGAGGTGATAACTCAGTTAATAAAGTACTTGTGCAAAAATGAGGACCTAAGTTCCATCTTTAGGACACACATTTTTTTGAAAGAGGCCACGTATGGTGGTATGTACTTGTAATTCCAGCACTGGGGAGGCAGCAGTAGATAAATCCCTGTGGATTGCTGCTGAGTTAGCATAGGTACATTGTTGAGTCCCAGGCCAGTAAGAGACCCCACCTCAAAAAATAAGGACATTGTGACAGATAAATCATACCCTATAGGCCATATTATATATATGAGAGTTCATTAAATTAGATGGGGGGCAGTGGGGGAAATTGGGGAGAGGGAAGTGAATCTAAATGCAATCAAATTATATTGTATGAAAATCTCAAAAATTAAATAAAAATGCAAAAATATAAGGTTGATGGCACCTGAGAAATGATATCTGAGATTGACATCTGGCCTCCACATATATGTGTACACATGTGCATATGCACCACACATACATTTGTACAAACCCTTGCTTACACATAAACATGTACACACACCCACACATAAAAAGACATTTGACATTTCTTTTTAAAGATTTGTTTATGTGTATGCCTCGGGAGAGTGTTGTGCATATGTGTGTGGGTGCCCCTAGGGGCCGGAAGAGGGCATCAGATACCCTAGAGTTGGACTGCAAGTGGCTGTGTGCCACTTGACATGGATGTTGGGAACTGACCTTGGGTCCTTTGAAAGAACAGTATGAGCTCTTAACTGCTGAGCCATCTCTTTATTCCCATCATGTGACTATTTTAAGTACATTAATATTCTATCTCAGAGTGGAGAGTGGTCTTGTGTAGATTGTGTAGTCACAGCTGTGAAATTTCAGGGACTGTGGTGTAGATAAAATGTGGCAGAAGACTGAAAATGTTAAACACTAGCTTTAGGTTAAAAAATGGACAGGAAGTAAAGCCAAACTAGAGTATGAAACATCATGGGGAATTAAGCACAGAATTCTAGAACAGGGTATCCAAAAGGTGATCTTTTTGAGCACAGAGACAAAACAGTAGTAACTGTTAGAAAAAACCATAAATTCTATAAAAAGAACCTACTTTAGACACATACTTCCCTTTTTGTACAGGTATTAGATTAGCAGATCAGGAAACATGGAGGCATACTGTATCTGGATATCAGCAAGACATTTGACAAGATTTCTCGTGATATGCCTCAAAACAGAATGCAGAAATGTGGTTTGGTGTTAGTCAGAGGATGCTGCCTGACAAGTAAAGTACATTTTGCAGAGGTGTTTCTAGCAGTGTGATGGAGATCTCTGACCCAGATTTGGGTCTATGTAGATTTGCACAAATATGAGAGCAAAACAATTACTTCTCATGGCAGAATTAAAATTCAGCCACAACTCCACATGCTAGAAATATGAAATCAAATTAGGCCAGATCAAGGGTCTGAACATGTTAATTTAAGAAGTTTCAATTACAGAATAAATAAAATATGGCTTAGCCTCAGAGTTTGTTAGAAAGGCTTATAGTGAAGCTAACCAGTCTTCTCAATGTGTATTATCAGTAGTGGCCATTAAAATGCATGATATTGGAGTAGACAGGATTAGTAGCAATAATTGTTAAACAAGGGAGATGGCTGATGGTTGTTCATAGCACATTACCCTGAATACATGAGTCAAGGTGATTGTTAAGAATCCTATTTAAGGGACATCTGATGTGTTTCCAGATGTTGTTCAATGGGCAGCTACAGGAAATGTGTCTTGAGAGATCTTGTCAAATGCCTGATGATAGCTAGCAAGTTGTTACTCTTTCTAATCACATGGCTTTCTTCTGCTCCCTAGTGTCACTGGAATGAGAAAGTAACTGCCATGGGTTGCTAAGAAGCTTGAACACACTGCAGTACATAAGAGATGAAGTGGGCTAATCACATTCCTTTTTTATGCTTCAATGGGACAAAAAACTAAAGGAGTATGGTCAGAGGTGTTAGTAAGTACATTTGGAATCCTGTCTTGAGGTGGAATCAGACATTGCCCAGGCAAAATAGAAACTCTGTGGTAGACAAAAGAAATACTGAGCCAATTGAAAGAACAAGCTGCTGTGCAAAGAGGACTGAATCCACAGAGTATATTTCTGCCTTATTAATGTCCAAGATCTATATTACATCTGTAAGCTTTGGCCCTTTATTTGGGTGTTGAGCAGTGCTTCCTGAATTTCCAGGAACTAATAACACATTGAAAAGATGTGTTTTATTAGGGAAAACAAAGACGCTAACAAGAATTCTACTGTGTTCAGGTCTTAAACTTTACATTCCTAGAACAATTTATACAAAGTACAGTGTGTTTTAAAGAAAGAAATCAGGGATGGACCTTTGAACACTGTAAGTGTGAGGGACAGATGAAGGAACTGGGGAAGTATTTAACTTACAAAATATCAGGTTCATGAACAGTAAAAGACTATCAGGTATGAGAGGCATTTCATTCTGTGAGCCCTTAAAATTGCATATGGGTCTATAGTGGGCAGATTTAGAAGTGGCAGATTTGGGTTCAAAAACATTTCTCACTAGTTGTCAGAGGTAGAATAGAATATTTTAGGAATCAGCTAATTCCTTTTGTTGGAGATTCATAAATAGAGCAGGTGACCATTTAGTAGGGATAATAATTACCTTTCAAAAGAAAAGTGCTTTACAGTGTATGTGCCTTTTCATATTATATTAGCTTGTTCTTTCTAACACATGACCATAGTGAGCAAGTTTTGTGGAGTACTACGGATGGAATCCAGGTCATTGCATATGTTTAGCACTTGCTTTCAAACTCTGAGCTACACTGTTAGATTTGGAAAACTTTTTACATTAAGGTTCCAAGAGGTTCTATTATGCAGCTTGTGCATAGGTTACTGTGCATTCACACTTACCTTTTATTGAATAAGTGTGAAATGAATATTTTTAAAGGATAAATTTGGAAAATTCTAAGCTGATAAGGCTTCTGGGTATTTTTAATTTCATTTTTTTCCGATGCTGAATATATTTTCAGATGCACTAAGAAGGTTCTCTCCTCAGTCTCACATGAAAACTTATGTTCTTCACTGTGTCTTATGAAGCTGAGACCAATTAATACATTCCTTGCATAGATACAGAAGGTCTGTGGGTGCAGTTTGCACAAACATGCCTAGATGCACATTTCAAATAAGAATATTTTTCTCTCCTCGTTTGCCTGAGCCTATTCCCACCCTGCTTCCAAATTTCCTCTTATTTGGCTTCCTAGAAGAAAGGACCCTGTTTGCTTCTCAGAAATGATAGTTGACCATACTGTCCTGCTGTTTCCTCAGTTATTCTCAAGCCCCACAAATGAATAGAAAGAATGAGGAAGTCACCTCTGTTTGAAAACTCTGAAGATTTGCATTATTTTTTGTTTGTCTCTTCTCACCCATTTCCCCCCTTCAGTAATACATCAAAAAGAGCAAGTGGTAGGGGGATAGAGAAGGAATTGAAGGAGGCAAAAGGGGTCAAAGGGGGGCTGGATTTGACCAGAACACGTTATGTGTATATGCGAAATCCTCAGTAAAAAGAACAATGCACAAATCTTCTCATTAGTACAGTTCTAATTGTGCTATCTTCACCGTCGGTGTTGACTGCTACTGTTGAATGTTCCATTGGTGGCTTATTCTCCCATTTAGTCTGGTACATGACAGATCATACAGTTTTCTGGATTTGGGCCATAGCATTTTCAGTTTGTTGGTGGTGATATTTTCTAATGCCATAGATTGCATCTAATTTAATATGCTGCAAAAGACAAAAACCTTATAATGTGAGTTTATTAGTCCTTTCCTTTCTGATTTGATCCCCAGAGGATATTAGGATAGAAACTCATGCCAGTTTTTGTTTACATAAAAATGTCTTTAGGAAAAAAGTTAAGATATATAGAAGATGACAATTTCTCCTTGAATTTAAGAGACCACAGAATGCTGCATTTTATTAGTTTATATTTTTCTTATGGTAATAGAAATCATCCAGCATTTCTGGGGTGGTAATGAGGATTGAACCCAGGGTCTTTTGAATACTATGGAAATTCTCTACCACTGAATGATACTGCCAACCCTGAAAGCTGCATTTTCTAAAAAGAATGAATTATTAGAAATGATAAGTGAGTTCTCAGTTAATCCTACCTAATGCTAAAGTCTTTCAGGATCAAGGGACCTAGAATTGTAGAGTAGAACTTTTCTCATGATAGAAAATTTGGAGGCATGAACCTAGAAACCCAAGGTGTGAAGTGACAAAAATAGTCTCCACCCCCTAAATTCAAGCTTCATTCTAACAGAATACAATTTTAAATTTACATTTATATTTCTCCTTCGTAAGGCAAATTCTTTCTCCAAATATTAGAACGCACTTTTACTTGTCACAATGATCTTACAATAGATAACGTGAAAAGTGTCAGTATTCCTGTAATGATATTTGGGGAACAAAAGACAATTGATTTTCATGTTGAGGTTACAAGTGAGAGCACAGATCCTTGATTCATTTCATTTATTTGTGGGTGTCTGACAATGAGGTGTTTATGTATATGTAGTTTCATTTTTACATGTGTACCTGCTATGGTCTATGTCTCTGAGTATGCCTGAGTTAGGGTTCCCTGTGTGTCTGTGGAGGGCTCTGCCCTTTACCCATATAGCTGGTGGTGTATGGCAGGTGTGCATTTATGTGCCTTTGCCAGTAGCTACTGTGAAAGGAGTTTCTGCAATCAGTGAAGTCATCCTCTGTCAATATTCAGGTTTAGTGGGATCAATAACAGCTCAAATACCTGGTCTCCAGTGGTATGTTGCTATTCAAGACCCAGCTGTTATGCAGATGAACCGAATCCTGTGTACTGGTTGGGGGAGCTGGAGCGGCTGGGCTGGGCTGGCTGCGAGTAGTCATTGATCTCCTCTGAAGAGAGTCCACTGTAGGAGGTGGCTTCCTGGCACAGGTGCAGGCATGTGGAGGTGGTGGTGGTGGTGGGAGGGGTCTGAAGGTGAACTGGTTGTGTGGGCTGCTCTGCATGTCTAAAAAGGAGAGAAGAAAAACAATGAATAGAGACTTAGTCTCCTACTTGGAAAACACAGCATGGCAGAAGTACCACGATTTCAGAGAATATAGCCTGTGGGGTGGGGGGAGAATTTTAAGTTTAGTCTATCTGTAAAAATGTCACTTAACTTACAAAAGCACGCGAAGCATGCTTATGAAATGTAAAACATTGCCAGTTGCATTTACATGTAAATTCTTCAGGGCAATACCAGCTGAAAAGTAAATGAGACCTCCTCAGACAATTTGCCATAGTTTCTGCTACTGAACAAATAAATCATCAACAAGGCATAAAGATACAGACCAGAAGTGAGCTGATTTCCATCAGTTGCAAAAATCTCACTTCAGAAAATACCAGTGAGAGGCACAAATTCATTGCAAGGAAAATCATTCGATACTTCAAATAAAAATATAAGGCCACCTTCTGCCTTACCTCAGGAAAGGATGCTGGGCCTACCTACAGAGGACTAAATTCATACTTCAGAAAAACAGCTCACAAGTGTGTAACTCAACTGCGTGAAACTAATCTCTTCACCAGACCAACACCTCAGAGTGCGGCTTGTAAAAGGCAGACTAATGGGAGTTTATTCAGGTTACTATACATATTTCCATAGCCATGAAAACTGAAGTCTACACACCTCACCCTTTGCTACATCTTTTTAGGAGTTCTGCCAAGTTAGCAGCCAAGTTAGCTGTGAAGTCAGTCTTAGGAGGAATTAGGAGACTATTTTTTTCCCTGCTTGTTTGTGGAGGGAGTAGCCTGGGACAGCTATCCTCAGACTTCTGATGTTGCTATTAATTGGTATTTTCCACCACTTTCTTGGCAGACACATATAAAGACAGTTAGTTAAAATCTGGCCCTTGAGAAATACCCCAATTAAACCCCTTTGAAAAGAAATTGCTATTTTAGCAGATAGCCACCTATCTTCCACAGGAGAAACATAATAGATGTCAAGTGATTGCTTGTAACACCAGCACGTTCTGGATGAACTTTGTAGACAGCATGGCTTTGTCCCACCTCCCCAATGACTAAGAGTTGAAAAGCAGAAAAATGCCAGAGGCTTTTGATGCTTAGCAAAGGGCTCAGCTGGTGTGTGCTGAGGCCCACTTTGCAGTGACTGATCACAGAAAAAAAAAAAACCACTTCTTTCAATCTTCCTACTTCAGACGTGAATTTTAAAAACACTGGTTTGGTTTTCATATTTTAAAATGACATTACTACCTCAGGAGCATGACAAATTCTTAGCTGTATTTTCTAGTGCAGGTGGCACCCCCTTTAAATCAAGGCCATATATGAAAACCTGAATTGTACAAAAGAGAGATAGGGGAGTAGTGATCATTTTATATACAGAACTCCTTTATGTAGTCATTTATCCTTATATATTTAAAATGCTTCATAAATTTTCTAAATCACCCTCAGTACTCTAGGTTCAGCCCAAGTCCTGAATGACTAAAAAGTCATCTCTAGTACTTACATCTTACTAATGTATTTAAACCTTTGTGGTCATACTCATAATCATAAATAGAATTAGACATTCCATTATTAGGATCTGAGGAAGTGTAGAGTGCTAGAGCACAAAGGACCCTGGAGAGCCTGACATTTTACAGGTGGGAAACTTGCCTAGGAACACTTGGTAAATTAATAGTCTAACTATGACTAGATCACACACCTGACTCTCTGGCCAATGCTCTATTCCCTGTACCATAAATATCTGTAATATATGTTTTATTTTCCTTCTCAAGATTCAGAGGCACTGAAGTACAGAATCTTCCACAGTTTCTAAAGTTTTCATTTACATTTCTGTGTCTCCTTCCCTCTTAGGCAATAGGTCCTAAAATGGATAATGGAACACAGTGTGGCTGTGAAAAAGCACAGAATTTGAGAGGAATGGCAAACTTGGCTTGAAGTTCAACCTCTTTCATGTAGAAGCTTGAACCCCATTTTGAATACAGACATAATAATCATTTTGCCTAATCAATTTGATTTATGTAAAATGGTGATGAATATCATTAACTATTTGTTAATTGGTTATAGCAGAGGAACAAAATGCTATGACTGGAAAGAACGTAAGTATCATATAGTTCAGCTACAGATAAGGAACCCAAGTCTCAGAGAGTTGAAGTGACTTGGTCATCCAATCTCTGTTTATTTTCCTTTTGCTATGATAACATGCTGATAAACACAGCTTAAGGGAGACATAGTTTATTTTAGCTCACATTTCAAGGTATAGTCATGAAATGACTATATCATGGCAAAGAAGTCAAGGGTAGTGGGGACTTGAAGCAGTTAATCATGTTGTATCCACAATCAGGAATCAGAGAAGGATGAATGGAAGTTGCTGTTCTGCTCCTTTTCTCCATGTTATACAATCCAAGATCTCATGCCCAGGGAGTTATGACAGATCTTCTCACGTCAATTACCTTGCAATCATGGTAATGCTGCACAGACATGCCCAGAGGCTTATTTCCAAGGTGGTTCTAGATACTGTTAGGTTGAGAATTAACATTAACTATCATATTCAATGTGTGCCTGATGATTTCTTGCCTATTACTCTTTCTATTATGATATTTTGAAACATAAATAGGACTTTTCTCTGACTTTAACAGTTCCTGTTCTTAGTATAAATTTGTCCTCCGAGATTACTATATAGCGATATTCTTTGCTATATCTGGTGTGTTTTGTCTTTTCTTTTACAATAGACTATACATTTCTTAGAGCGATGCCATCTATTCTCTTAAATGTCACAACATATGGAGCACAATTATGGTACAAGGCACACCCCCAAAATATTTTATTGATAAGGTTTTGATTCATTCATGGGAACCTAAAGACCTTGCTTTAGTGTTTCCCTTGGCTCTCATTCTGATGCCCCTACTAGACATCAAGTTGGTTCTTCATAGATAAGTATGTTTCTTTCTAGGAAGGCTTTGTAAGATCTCGTCTAGGATCAGGGGAAGGAACAATAATATTTGAAAGAGGGCATTTAAAATGATGTCTCTACAATATGTATAAAGAACAATCATGACACATTACATTACAGACTTATCATTAAAAGTCATGTGTTGGAAAGCATTTGATAACATAAGGAAATAGTGGTAGCATGCAGTCAGAGGAAGAACATCTATTTTAGGGGTCATTTTTCAGAAGACTTGCAAATAAGTCACATGATACATATTAGTTTAAACTGTAAATAATGCTTCCACCAGAGTTTACTTTTGTTCTTTATTTAAATTGATTTTTTTCAGTATGTAATACAATATAATTTCATCATATTCAGACCCCTTCCCCTACCTGACCCTCCCTTTTCTATCCTCTGTCTAATTTCACATACTCTCTCTATATATATATGTGTGTGGGGTGTGTGTGTGTTATATCAAGTGTGTATATATGCCTATCAAGTCAAATTTGTAGCCACAAATGTCGTTCAGTGTTGTTTTATCCACTGGAGCTTAGTTAAACTACCCAGCATCACAGCTTTAAAGAAAATGGACTCTCTTCTTCCAGCCAGTATCAGTTACTGAAAAAGCTCTTCAGCTAGGGTTGGGGCTTCTTACCTACTATCTCACCTCTTTGCTGGGATTTTGTCTGGCTTGAGTTTACTTTGGTCTTATTCATGCTAGCACATATCTGTGAGTTTACATGAGTAACTACCCAGACCATCTACAACCTCTGGCTCTTATTCTTCCCCCTCTTTCACAGTGAACTCTGAGACTAGTCACTTTGGTTATTTGCATAAATATTGATACATATGCACATATGTATAATTTCATATGTATGTCTAGGTACCCATATGTATATGTTACTCTTACTATCTATTTTTATTCCCACATTTCATAGGTAGAAGTTTCCTTAATATTATTGTTTTTAAATGCTTTCACAATACTGGATTTTTATGCTGGTTGTACTGAATAGAATACATTCGGACCTTAATCCATCTGAAATGCAAATGATCTCAGATTCATTCTTATTTTTCACCTCAGGAAAAATATGGGAGATATACTGGTTTCTGCCCAAATGAAGTAATTTAGTCCTTGAACTCCATGAAATGGGATTTACCAACATTAAACTAATGAAAAAGTGTTAGTGTTGAGTGTCAGGGAGCTCGGAGCTCTGGAGCACCATTTCTAGGTGGTTAGGAGTCACATGCACTCACAATGTAGCTCGCAACCATATAGTCTTGTGTCAAAGAGACAGAAAGAAAGAGGGTGGGGTAATTACGGAAATGTGAATATTTAGACATATTAATAAAGTTTTCTGAAATTTAAATTAAGTTTTCAGATAGAAAAGTCTAATCCATATAATATATTTGGAATTGAGGTGGTTTCAGGTCTGAAGTCTTAAAGTAACGTGGTAAAATAATCTCTCAGGGGGGAAATTTCTCCAAAGTGTAGATCTAAGATATTTCAGGTGTGGCAGAGTTGTTAGTAGAAGCATAAGCTTTCAAAAACAGCACTGCTGCTGTCTACAAAAGGTGAGTGAGTGAGAATGTGTCTGGCATCATTTTCTCCTTGTTCCCTGCCTGTTTTGCAAATAATCCTTAGTTTGGATCATATGCTAGAAAATGTTTTTACCAGAAATTTGAGTATCAGAAACAGTGTGGGTATCTATCAGGGTGTGTGTGTGTGTGTGTGTGTGTGTGTGTGAAGGGCCTTTGCCTTTTACATTTCATGAACATATCCAGTCAGTTCAGGCGACAAGGTAAAGAAAGCAGGCATTTCTAAAATATATTATGCTGTGAAAATTGCACATGTGAAAAGACTTGATGAAAACAGTGGTGTTGGAGTATGTGATGTGTTGAGTTCCAGCTTGGCAGGATCTAGAATCATGGAAAGACAAGCCTCTGGACAGTCTGTTAAGGAGTACTTAGATTAAGTTATTTATGATGAAAAGACCCACCTTGATGGCAGGTAGCACTAAGCACAAACCAAGCCCTTCCTTCCTGAAGTTTCTTTTGTCAGGTATTTTGAAATAGCAACAAGA